ACCTAATTAGAGTCAAACTACTAGCTTATTGGTTATGAACAAGACTTCACTTTAGAATAGGGAACATGTTCTTAGATATAAATGCCTAATTAGAGTCAAACTACTAGCTTATTGGTGATGAACAAGACTTCACTTTAGAATAGAGAACATATTCTTAGATATAAATACCTAATTAGAGTCAAACTACTAGCTTATTGGTTATGAACAAGACTTCACTTTAGAATAGGGAACATGTTCTTAGATATAAATACCTAATTTTGAGTTATTTAGACACAATTAACACTTATAGTTTCATGTCTTGTTACATAAGAATAGATCATATTTGTTAAGTGTTATTCTGGGAGAATTACTATTCTTGTGCTACTACTGCCTTATTAGGCCCATATTGAGCAGAGCATATTAAGACCCAAACTCATGTACAACAACTTCCTTACTTGCAATAAATAAGCACTAATTAGATGGTTATTGAGGAAAAACTCTCAACTAATGGCGTATTACTTGTAGAATATGGTCATGTAGAATAAGGCATTAATAAGTGTTTTATAATGACTAATAAAGAGCCAATATACTGCTAATATGCATGTTAATTAACAACTAGTTGATGGTTAATTTGTGTACCTTAATATAAATTGTTACCACTTTTTTCATTCATTCATTATTTCAAGAGAAATAGCTAGCCATAAGTTGTTGTTGTTTTTCTTTCTATTACTGCATTTGTTAATTAACTACATAAAAATACAGTAACTAGTGAGCTTTAGAGATATTGTAGATGTTTTTCAAACTTTAAACAGAACCTCAACCATGTTTTCACTCTTCAAGCTCAGCTAGGCTAATGGCTAACTGTGTTGTTTTTTCGTACTACTGGTATAACACACAGAAACTGGGGAGTTTACAGTAATGTGACTTGCTTTTTACCCATGTTTTTACTCTTTAAGCTGAGCTAGGCTAACTATATTCTGACAAACTCTGCAGTTGATTTCTTGTCTCACTCTCAGAAATAAAGATAACAAATGTATTTCCCAATGAGAAACTATTCCGTTAAATAATGTTTGGGATACTTTAAATTTGTATTTTTAACACAGAGTGCATTGTACCTACATTGTAGGGCTGTTCGATTTGGAAAGATTATTGCAATTATTTGGACTGATATTGCAATTGCGATACCATTTACTATATCATTTGCTATATTTGAGAGAAGGATCATTTTTGAAACATTATTCACATTATAATGTTTATACATATTTTAATGATCATGGTGTGTCTTTTTCTGTACAGTATCTGTACCAAAACAAGTATTTGTTATAAGTCTGTAAAATACCGTTTTAAATCCAGGACTCTGCAGGACCACAACAAATAATTTAGAATGATATTTTCACATATTTAGCATTTACTTACTGATTATTGCGAATAGGATAACATTTTGATTAATCCTGCAGCCCTATTCATAACTACACTTTTACTTTCTTCTTCTAATAAATATCCAAGCATCAATCCATTTCCTGCTTTCACCCACACATCCACACACACATCCTTGCCTTCATGGGGTCGGTGTTGACCAGAGGCTGGTTGTCGATGGCTCCGGGTCTCTGTGCTATCAGCTGGGAGGGAAGGTGGCCATTGGCTCCAGAGAAACACTGATTGTTGTTGTCCGACACGTTGTGCTGACGGGCGAAGCAGCTCTCTGTCGCAGAGGGAGTGACCTGGGGGCTCAGGGCTGCTTGCACACAAGGGGGGAGAGCATACATGTACTGTAATGTTTCACTGTAATAGCGTTATCTCCATGGCAACAATTAGATTCAGTACAGCAACAGTGAGTGGATAGTCATCAATTGACTGCTCTGAGATTCTCTTTTAATTTGGGGAGAATGCTTGGAAAGAAGCATTTTGTAATATATACCTGAATCAAATCAGTTTATTTCACGGCTTAATGGAATACTTAATTGTGATTGCTCAATTTAGATTTTCATTTTTTCCTGTAGTAGAACGTTGCTAAGGACGCTCTGATCAAGGGACTTTGTGCAGTCATATCAATCCACAGAAAGAAGTCTGGTCAAATGAATTCCAGCTGTGGTCAAAAAAACATTAGTTTTAGAAAATTCATATTTCTATTTCTGAAGTGTAAATTGGATTCATGATGTCTTAACTTTCCCAATTAAGGCGAGACACCCCAGGTGAATAGGGTAATTTTTTTAACTTGAAGGTATCAGCTAGAAATTTCTCCAGTTAATTACTTACAATAAGGCAATTGTCTTTTGTATTACAAGTTTTCTGAAATAGCATGTTTAAATATGCAAATTAGCCATTATCTCATCAAATATGTGCATATTTTAACACATTTCAGGAATCGAAATCTGAACTTTGGATAAAGCCAGGTTCAAAATTCTTGTTTTATTTTGTAGTCATATTAGTATCTAAGGCTTTTACAGAAGGGATTTTGGATATCTCTTTTTATCACTCCATAAATCAGAAAATACTGTCAACAGCCCTAAAATATCAATTTTTGCCATGTTTTTAGCAGGTAGGACTCAGTGACGCCTGAGGCTACGGCTGCCGTGGTACTCACGGGGGTTACCTGTCTGACATCCTGACCCTTTGGAAGCAGGGGCAGTGGGTGCCTCCTCTCCAGTGAACTGCGACACAGGGTCGAGGAAGCCTCCGGGTGGACTTCTAGCCAGTCCAGTCGTGAATCCCTTTTTTTAGTATGGTTCAAGGGATATCACAAATGAAGGACAGACAAAAGAAGAGGACAGGGGTAATCACAAATGAAGGACAGAAAAAGAAAGAACGACTAAAGAGTACAGGAGGTCGAGGACAGAAACTGGATGTAACGGAAGAAAACACGACGAAAAGGAATCATTAAACAAGAATTCCGTCTCTAGTGCCGTCCGTTTTTGTAGGGCAAAAGTTCGTGCCAGTTAAAATCTAAACACGATAAAACTATAAGATATTGTACAAAAGGAAGGCCGAAAACTTCCTTTCTGCAGTGTTTTATGTGTAAATTCACAAATAAACTGATATCAAACAGATAAACGCCAGTCATATAAAGAGGATCTTAAGGTCCGGTTTTCAATCGAAAGGATTGCATTGTATTTCATGGCCTGGCGACACACGTGGTACAGTTGTCTCTATGGAGCAATCTTTCGAACAAGGAGGAGCGGTTAGAGTAGCCTAGGTTTATATCCAGGTAAGAGGAAACATAGTCGTTGGTAGACCTTTCGTGTTTCCGCCAGAATTTGGTTCTTGCTTTAGGAGTAACCGACCACAGGTTAAAGTGGTGGTTGCACTAAGGCAAGTCTACGCAGTGCACCACACGATTTTGTGAAAGGACCAATCGAAGGCGATCTTACGATGTAGAGTTGTGTTACGTTTTGTTGCTCCGCTTTTTTTTTCAAATTGTCTCTTCTACTTGTTGTTAATAGGGAACGTCGCTCGTCTAATATGTTTTTTGTTCTACTGGGGCTTGTACTTTATGGAAGTGACTCACCGCAGACTCCGCGTTCGGACAGTAGCGTTTCTTGTCCTCCCCGAATCGATGCGCGGGTGACGTTAGATTTCCAGAAAGAGTTTTACTCAAAAAGGGGATGAGGCTCCAGTTTTAAAGTTGAAGTCATCCGTGCTCTGTGTCGGGTTCTCGCGGTCATATAAGGATACGTTATAATACTTCCGAAATAATGTCTGTTTCCAAACAATTATATAGTAAGTATCGACTTAAGTATGTTG